ATGTATTCGATTTGGATTTAAACTTGAGTAGAAAAATTACAAAATTATTTAAGGCTAAAAATGTTTATTTATCAAATAAGACAAAAAAATAAAATAGCTGCAAAATTTTCTATAATTTTTAAATTTATAATTAAATGGATTATATATTATAATTATTAAATATATATATTTATGTATGTATGTAGAGCTATTCCACGCACATCTCTACGGACTAGACCTATAGCAGCACACACACCCAAACATATACATGTACATATATTGGCTTGCTGCCAGGCTTAGCCAATATGTCCATGCACCTGCCTCACAAAGTGAGCGAGAGATTAGATGTGACTGAGCCAGCAAGAGGCAAGGGCGGGGGCAGGGTGAGGCAATGAGTGCTGGCAAGGCCAAGGCAAGGCAGTCAGAGTACATGAAAAGAAATGCCGCTACACTCGCTAATAAACCGTAATAAACTGCCATCCTCTGGCTGTCTGCTACGTTTTGAGCTTGTGTTTTTAACATGTAGCACCAGTCAACCACCCAACCACCCAACCATCCTACAACCCAACCACCCATACACCCATACAGGCAGCCACCCCGTCTCTCGGGTATCCGAGGCATACGACAAACATTTAATCTGCACACACAGACACGCGCTCAAACTTAACAGGGAAGAGCAACAGCAACAGCAACTTGCACCACGAACTCCAACAAAACAAAGATGAGCAGTGGACGGCGTGGACGGCGTGGGCGGGGCAGAGGCAAAGGTAAATGCGGGAAGCCTTTTGTAAAAATTATGCTCCTTCTTTGGCGCTTTGGCAAGGTAAACGCACAGAGTATGATTATGAGATCACTTTATGTGACGTGCTGGCTGGCTGGCTGGCTGGCTGGCAGGAGCCAAGCTGTGCCGCGTCCTGCCTGCCAGTCTGACTGCCTGTGTGTCCTGTTGAACGGCGTCCTGCATGGGCTTTAATAAAAATAAATGTTACTTGTAATAATTTCTTGCACGTCTCTTGCAATTTCCACACCGGTTTTTTGTTTTATTTTTCGTATTTAACGTCTGTCTCTTCCGCCTCTCGTCCTTGATGCTTGCAAGCATCGCGACTTTCCTTCTGCTGTTTCACGTTGAGTCAATGTTAAAGCATCTGCATCTATCTCTCCTTCTCTCTCTCTCTCACACACACTCTTTGTGTATAGAGTGCATAAAATATTAATAATTGCACGCGTGGTGGTAATGAAAATACACACACACACATACACACACACACATACACACACACACAGCCACACACAAGAAGCTAATGCATACATTTCGGGTTAATAATGTGAACATAAAGGAACCTCCTGTTGCCTCCTGCCGCCTGGAAGTTTCTAAGCGCAAATCAGCATCATGATGAGAATTTCTTTAGCTCATCGCTCTGCAGTGTGTAGCGTGTGTCTGGTGGGCGTGTCTTTGTCTCAGCATACGCTGATTGAAAGGCAATTGAGATGTGTCCCAAGTCAACGGATGGAATGAACTGTGGCAGCAACCATGAGTAAAATGACTAACTAAATATATATCTTCATAATGATCTTACATTGTGTACATTAGCATAGAACTTAAAGCCCTAGTGGGATTCCCTCAAGAAACTGTGATATTGTCAAAAATTATTAGGATCAAATTCATTCATTGACTTTGAAATGAAAAAAACAAGTCCTATTATTAAATCCATAAGCACTAATATGACTTCAAGCCGAATATAACAAATTGTACCTGACCTTGTAAATATGTGAGACTAGAGATTCCAAAACAGGTTTCAAATGTCTCCTAATCGTCTGCTTTTATACTCGGTTCCCAAAGAAAACAGAGTGTATTGGTTAGTGGAATAATTTGCATTTAATTTTTTTTTCGGCATTTATACTCTTTAGTAGTACCTCGCTAGTCTTATATCAAGACTTTACCAATACGCATTAATGGAGCGTATCAAATCCGTAAATACTATATATTTTAAAATTACAGCACTAGAAACTAAACTTAATTAAGTTACTGGTGACGTCCGCTAAAAATAATTTCAACGAGCCTTTGGCATCCTCATGGTGATCTATAATTTTAAAATATTTTAATTAAAGAAGTTTATATAAATATAAAATAATAGCAGCAAATAATAGCAAAGTTGATAAATCATTTTAAAAAGGCCATATAATTTATAAATTTAGAATTCATATAAAAAATTAATAACATGTTGGGTTGAAAACCAGGTTCCCCATTTTCAGAAATGAGCAAAGTAGTAAATTAAAATCTATTGGTTTAAAATTATTTAAAACTTTTAATTCGCCTTTGGTTCTAAGGATTTAATACTTGCCAATATATGTATATATATATATATATATATATATATATATATATATATGTTTGAATGTATCTGTGTTTAAACGGCATTGTAAGTATGTAAGAATATTGACAAAGCTGTGCAGTTACAAAGCTGTCTTGCGGTTAGTGCTGAGCGCCTTGTGGCCCCAGCGACAGCACCTGTCCGCTCTAATTAAGCACAGGAATTTCAAGGTATATATAAATACATATATATATATATATATATATATATATATATATATATATATATATATATATATATATATATATATATATATATATATATATATCTACGTATATTTATATTGTGAGCCATACCACAAGCTGTGGCTACTCTTCAGGTGACTGTTAATCCTTGATGAATCCTTTTTAGGCATAGCTGCTGCATCTGACGCTTATTGGCTGTTTGCTAATCACACCTTTGGCCATCTGCTTGGAGGTCGCTGAACTTTGATTTATTTTATTAGCGGGACAGACAGACAAGCAAAAATCACAGTTTGGAACCCTTTTTACTTGTGATAACGACCTTGAACTGTCTGTCGCCACAGTGCCGCGCTTAGCTGAGAGCAACAACAATAACTACAGCAACAACAACAACAAAAACAGTAGAAGCCGTTGTATAAAACTTTTCTGCTTATGTCAGTTTCACTTTTCGTGCGCTTTCCCTCAGTTTCTCTGACTGTGAGACTGTCTCGATTCATTTGGAATTCAACTTCGAGTGCAGCTAAGGTGAATTGTCCTCAAAATGCAGCAGCTCGAGTTGTAGCTGATAATTTGTAGCCCTCCCAATCGATAGCTGTTGCTGTTGTTGTTGTTGATGACTGTTCTTGTTGCGCCAGATAATCATTTGTCAAATTTCATTTTATTTGCTATGCAACTTGAGACTTTGTCCAAATTTATAAAAGAATTAATAATGTTTTTTTGGCCGAGAGACTCGGAATATTTGTACTTACTTTCATTTCATTAAATACAAAATTTTAATCTATATAAAGTCGTTTTATTATTTTACTTACACGGTTCTCTTAGTATAACAGTGATATATATACAATCTGAAGGAATTCCAAACTTATAAAATAATATATTTTATGACATCTCTGCATTTATTATATATTTATTTATTTAGTATCTGCCCACAATAATATATATATATATATATATATATATATATATATATATATATATATATATATATATATATATATATATTTGCAAATAAATGTTTATTTTTGCTCTATTTAACATACATATTCAAAAATGAATAAGACTGCCTAACGTATTTTTATTGAGCTTTCGCAGGGAGTAGTGGAATATTTTTGTATCTATTCCAACACACATCCCAACAGCTTTTATAGCTTTTTAGTTATTCCAGCTTTTAAGAGTTTGTGTTCTACGATTCTGACTGAAAATAAGTTCAGCAAAAAAAGCTCAACTCAATACGAAACTCGTTTCAGCTTTAGGGATGCATAGTAAATGAGCTTAATTGAAAGCACTTTCTTGGTTGTTGTTTCTGCTTTCAATTTTTCGCGTGATGACAACCCTGCTTGGAGTTAGTTGTAAAATATAATTTGGCGTAACAAGCGTTAAATATAATTTGTAAAATATATATAGAACTATCTGTAGACGAGGTCAACAAAGATCCAATTGAAATTCTCGATTATTCCAGCTCAAAGTCTGTGTAATGAAAGCACTAAGATGATGAAGTACCCAATCCAGACTCAATTATATTCAATAATACTTAACTAATACATACATTCTTCATACACTTCGAGCAGGTCTAAGGCCATTTAGTGATTTGTATTAGGTAAAACAAATATATTTAGTTGCAAATCATATTTATTACGAATTATGCCTCAGGAATATTGAATCCTTAAATGTACAAGATTTTAATAGTAATTGAATATACGACTAGAACTTACCTTAAGAAATATAATTGTATGTCTGATAACATGAAATTTGATTTCGATTTACACAATTATTATAGAATATAAATGGACAAAGAAGCATTAGTTCATGAGCATGAGAATATGTAGAGAGTGGCGAGAGACTATTGGAACTGGAAAGCAAATCTCTCTAGCTCTGCCATTTATTAAATACCAGTTGAGAGATTGCTTGACTAAATTAATCGTGAAGCTTGCAGAGCTGGGTATTGGGTTGGGGTTGGGTCTAACACACGATTAACCTCGATTTTAACACGCACACTTTGACTGCATGTGCAGTAAATAAAATTGCATTCAGTTAGCTACACTTACGGCCCCATGAAAATACAGTAAATGAAAAGCGCAACTCAAAATATAAACAAAAGCCAATTGCACTTGAGCGACGGCAGGGAGCAAGCCGGAAGAGGAAGAGGGGGCGACGGATATGATTGCGGAAGTGAAAGCAGGTCACATATCGCCGACTCTCGGCTGACAAGGGCATTCAGCACACACACACACACACACACATACATACATATATATATATTTATATATACACATGCTCTTGCCCACGCGTCGGCTGCTACCGAGTTAATCTGGTTCAATTAAGTTCATTTATTTGAATTTAATTGCTTTCCGTGTAATCGCAAAGTCCCGCCAAAGATCTTTTCAAAAAAAAAAACCACAAACATTTTTTATGTGAAATGTAATTTCATTAATATTTCATTAAATTTTTATATTTTCATTTCAATCAGGTGATCCAATTTGGGTGAGCTTCGTACATCGTCAAAGCCCTGTAACAGCATCTATGCAGACTCCATGCTTGCCCCTGTTACGACATAAAGGATTGAGGCACAAACACCCTGAAATCTGAAAATAATTTTGGAAAAAAATTTCAATTAACCTTGATTTCTGATTTGAAAATGTAAACAGTCAAACGTGTAAAAAACTAATAAAATTATTTAAAAATTAAATTCCTGTGTTCTATAATTTAAGGAAAAAAATTTCAATGACGTAGAAAATCCGAGTGAAGCAACAGGGAAACAGAAATATTTAGCAGGTGACAATATCCATATCCATATCAAAGATAGTAATGATAAATAACATAGCCATGTAATGTCAACTATCGACGCAAATCTTCTTCTTCTACACTGCACTATGGGAAAAAAGTACGATATTTTGGCATTAATACAATTTTTTTGTTGTCTCAAACCGCTAAAGAAATATTTTTTTCCAATTCTAAATTCATTAGATAGAATCAAAATATTTTTGTTAAATTTTTGGGGACTACCCCTATTATTTGATAATTTTACAAAGTCAGATGATTCAGCGCTGCATTGCAATGTGAAAAAGCGCGCCAAATAGATCGCAACTTTTTAGCTGTATACAATTTATTTGTTAATCGCATAAATTAAAACTTAATATGCAAAAAGTTAATAAAGGTATATATAATAAGTGTCCGTAGTGATTTTGTATACTTCTGTGTTTTTGTGTAACTGTGCAATGTGTTGTTCATGTGTATTTTTAGCTTAATCCTAACAAATATGTTTGTGTTCTGTGGAGTATAACTTTAACAGTCCTCGCTAGGCCTCGGCAGTTTTAGCTGAGGGTAATTAACTAAACCATATACTATAAGGACCCATTAATAACTTTTGCCCGTTTTTGCCCCTTTTCCCGAAAATTGACATGTTGTAGTTGCGCTTGAGTTTAGACGCTCAGTGCTGCTGGAAATTTGGAGATGCAACAACCGCCAAAACGACGTTGTAATATCTTTTATTGCCAAATCTTTTAACAACAATGTGAACGAAGATCTTAAAAAAATTATCCAAAAAGAAGTCGAGGAATTTATTCACTATATAAAAAAATGTTTGTTGAAATGCAATAGAATGTTAGATCGATTTAAAGTTAAACATTCTACTTGGCTTGATGGCAATGTTGTAATTGCGTTTGGTGAGCACGAGACGTCTCCAAATAAAGCTGGACGTAAATATTTAAATTATGAAAATGCAGGATGTCGTTTAAAAAGAAAGTTATCATCAGAGCTTGCGTCAAAGGAAAATTACGAAACTCCACTCTTAATGAAGCCAGAAATAAAATATACAAGAATGACAGAAGATCTCATGCAAGAAAATGCAGCAGATTGAATAACATAACTGATGTTTTCAACAGAGCATTAGACTCGTCGGATCCTCTATTATCAAGCCTCTGCCTAAATGAACGCCAAAAATTAAATAAAAAAGGAATATTCCGAATGAAGTCGTTGCACTATTTGAATCTCCCGATCATATTTTGAAAAATCATGAAGGTGATTCAAGTGACGAATGGACAGAAGACGAGGATATTGCATTTGATATTAAATTAGAAGAAGAATGTGACTAATTTTAGTTCAACAATATGAAAATATGAAAAGAACTGTCAAATTCATACTAACGGCAAAAAAATATCAAGGAAAAAAATTATAGGGGTCAAATCAGGGTCAAATTGAAAAAACCAAAAAAATCCGAAATTAAATTAAAGCCTGACGAGCATCCACAAAAAATTTCATATCTCTAGCTCATTATTTGGAATTAATGCCAAAAAAATGGGATTTTTTCCCATAGTGCACTGCTCATGTAAGCAATTGCCGTGTATCAGCGGCATATTCGGTTGGGGTATTAGGCGAACAGGAATGCACAGCAGAAAGAGAAATGTTATTTAACATAGAGAAGTTACTTTAGAGTTGAGTTAAAGAACGGTATCTGTTATACTGCAGATAAATAAAATTGAGTGCACTCAGAAGAAATACAGAAAATTAAATAAATAAAATCTAACTCATCTAGCTCATTTTCATATCGGGAAGAGGCTAAAATATCATGAAAACCTGTTGTTGATTACCAGGCAAACATAATCGGCGTACAGAAGACAATGCATACGAGCTTAGTAAATTTTTTAGAACAGTTCTCCCCTGTGTGTGCGTGCAGTTCTCCCGCATACATATCCATATGTACATGCATACTAAAAATCTAATCGCAAGCAAGAGCGATTAGGACTGCTTCAAGAGCTCCAGCAGTTCCCCTCTCACTCATGCAACACCCGTACAAAATACACATATGTATATATTAGTATAATATATATAACTTGAGAATTAATTTTAAATGAATATTTAGATTAATATATATTGCTATTAATTTTAAATGTACTCAATAATTGCAATATGTTTTTGTAATATCTTCATGTTGTTGCCAAGTACACAGGGCAAGTTAACAAGCACCTAGCAGAACACTAACAGAAAGAGCGGCCATTACTATTGTTAGTATGAAAGACAGTTCTGTCATCTATAGCCGCCATTATCGCTATTGCTTTGCATTTCGCTTTATCTGATTTATATTGCAGTGCAACATGTGTGTGCGAATGAGTCAGATGCGGTCAGGGATTGCAGCGTTTGCAGAAACAGGTTGAGAGTTAATTCAAGTCACAAGTCACTCAGAGTTACTGTTCTCTTTGGCGATCCCGTTTTATCATGATACAGCTCAAGGAGAGGGATAATATTTACGTAAGTGCGAGAGGGACGAATACGTTTTGCAAAAGAGCAGCCATCATGGTGTGGGAGATATGTCACTTACAAGTATCACTCTCGCCATCGCTCTCGCTCTCGCTCTCGCTTTTGATCCTGCTTTGTATATAGTGCAGAAAGAGAAGATTTAGAATATGTGTGTGAGGGTGACGGACAGTTGTTTATAACATGTGTAAATGAGTATACTGTTATGTTAGGTATGGCATGAAAGCAATTATGGCAGAGGGGCTATATACATATGTATATACGCACATTGTATAAATATACTGGACTACATGTATAACAAAATTGTTATACCCTCTGAAGGGAGATAAAGAGTTTCACTATCTCTTAAAGAAGTGGGACGCAATAATGTAATTTTAGTGAAGGTGTTTGCGAGCGTGTGAGAGAGGAGATGCGGTTATTTATTAAATTTAATGGAGCGACAACAATGTCGCCTATGCAAATAAATGTAGTCCACATTAGCTGCGCCAGACAGTAGTGCACGCTTTGTTAACTTTTTTTCATTTTATTTATTTATTTTTTGTTTAGCTTTTGTTGCCATAAATAAAAATAATAATTGTACTCATATACATATATATATATATATATATATATATATATATATATATATATATATATATGTATATGTTTATATCTTTCTCTTCCTCCCTCTCTCTAAATGGGTCAACGCTAGTTGGGCTTATGTGCACAGTGCGACAGTCCATCATAGTTACCCGGTACTGTGCCCCACTCGCTGGCCTTTTCACTGTCTCTGCTCAACTGTTGCCTCTCCACAGTTGCTGCTGCCTGCTGCTTGCCTAGGGACATACACTCGGAATGGAGGCTTTTAAGCCGTTTGTGGCTTTGCAAATATATTAGCTATTAGGCCTAATTGAATCGCCTCTTGGTTTGGACCTTCAACTGCAATTGCCGTTTAATTGAATTAGTGTAAATTAATTAATTCCAGCTAATTGTATTTTTTGTTCAAGATGGGTGTTTCAAGCGTTTTATGATATGCAATTATAAAGCGTTTATGCATGAAGTAAGTACATTACATTTATTACTTAATAAAGTAGGCCATTTGTTCATTATTTATTAGAATTCAGTCAATTCTATGTACATTAAAAATACATTTTTCTTAAGTTATTGTAGAAATACCAAAAATTGAGACACGTTTTATTTAATATATATTTTATTTTGACTTTTCTTATTTATATATTTTAAAAAAGTCACAGTTTTATTTATTATGTAAGTCAAAAGTACAATATATCATAATAAGAAGATCTTGTTGATGAATTTACAAATTTAAAATAATAAATATTAAAACGAGAGCTTATGTTTCATTTGAATAAATTAAATATTAGGCACCTTATATGTTGTCTAAAATGTTTTTTTTTTTTTATGGGTTTTTTCCAGCTGCCTGCATTTTCTGATCAGCTCAAAGGAGTTCCAATTATTCGTCTGAGCCAAAACAAAAAATAAATAAACATAATTGCTGCTGCTGTCAAAGCTGTTTAAGCTTTTGCCTCACACACACACACACACACACACACACACATATATACAACTACGAATGACAACCCGTGAGATAGGCACACATGTCAATTGCAGTTTTGAATGGATAATTCGTTCTACGCTGCAGCTGGCTGGCTTTATTTTTGACATTTGTTGCTCAACGTAATTTCACCCTGCCACCGCTCCAGACCCCCTCATGCCCATGTCGTTGCCATTGACTTGCTTAAGCAATCCTTGGAAATGTGCGCAAAGGCTTAGGCACAACATGGCTGTGTGTGCGAGTGTGTGCCAACATTACACGCAAGTCAAATAAAATTTTGCGCTACACACACACACACACACACACATGCACTCGCTTTGGCACTCACTCACAAAATGGCGACGCATAAAAAGCGTCTTTAAAAATGCGCTCAGGAAATTGTTGAAGTGACATTTTGTGTTGGCGGCACGACAAGAGCATCACAGCTATTCCAATCAGTTGGTAACACAATTGCAAGCACTATGCGAACAATATACAAATTGATAAGGTGATGCCATCTAAAAGTATCTAGAAATAGAAATATTGGTTATTTGAATAACAGTTTTAAAAATATTAAATTTCCTTTAAATAGGTTTTTCCTAGAGCATTTCTGGTTCGTTCTGTTTTTCTTAGCATTTTATTTGCAATTTCTTGCTACACGCTGCTAGCTTTGGCATGCGCCTCACTGACTCTCTCTCTCCCTCTCCCTCTCTCTCTCTCTCTCACTTCGTGTCTCCCTCCCTTCCAGACACTCTGTGCAAGTGTGCGTGTGTAAGCGTGCGGTTTTTGTAGTTGACACACTAACACACACTCACACACACACAGCTGCAGCTGGTACGGCACGCAAACACATTTCATTTACGTTGAATTTTGTGCAGATTTGCCTGCCCA